AATGTGTAGATTTCGGACGACAAAGTACCATTAAACATTTATTGTTATAAGCTCCAACAAAAAACTTTGAAATATGAAGGATTGTAAGTTTGAAAATGTTAAGTCTATCCATACCAAGTATATTTTGAAAGTTTTTTTCTTCTTCGTATAATAAAATATGAAGGGATTATTTTCCCAAGAATTAATATTTGTTCTTGAATTTCTAGAAACTCGAGAAACCGAACGTTCCAAACGTTGAATTAAATTTTTGAAGCAGAAAACGTTGAAAGTGAGGTGGCACGGCACTTCTATGACAGGTTTTGAAAATAGTGTTTTCGCCTTTTCTGAAAACATTATATCAATGGATAGATTACAGTGGGGCCACATTCATCTGACCTCCTTCTCGCAAAATTTTATTGTGGTTTCGACAACTCAACAAAAAAAGCAAATACCTTCTATGCCTCGGTATTGATTACATCAACGCAATGCCACTTAGCAAAAATAGGATGAAAGTCCCTTGTAACAGGAATTTTTTATGCTTGTAAAAGTCTAAAACAATAAAAGAAATGAAATAAGCAAATAGTTTCCTTCGTAATGAGCTAAGGCATAACCCTATTTAGCAATAGATGGCCTACTCGCTAATTTGCAAACATTGAAATTGTTCTAAATTTGCAATTGTTCGCGTATTTGTGCTATTGGCTGTAACATCAGTCCGTTTTGAAGTGGGAATGAATGTGTTGTGATTTCAGGTGTAACAACTCTACTGACGATGACAACCCAGGAAAGCCATCTTCGTTTTACCTTTATAATTACGTGAGCAATTAACATGTGCCTTTCAGAGTTCGGGAATCAACGCAAAGCTGCCACCCGTCAGTTACACTAAGGCATGCCCTCTCCTCAATGTTCGTTTTATCCCCACTAACTATTGTTTGTTGTTAAGGCGATTGATGTGTGGATCGGTGTTTGTTTGGCTTTTATCTTTGGCGCGTTGCTGGAGTTTGCGCTGGTCAACTATGCAGCACGCAAGGATATGACCAGTTGCGGCCAACGAATGGTTCGTACTGAAGCGCTCGACAAAGAGATGCAAAGATATCGCCAACTAGTCGCTAAGTATAAACGCTTCAGATGAAGCAACTGCCTCATGATGGCTATCGGCCGTTGCCGGGAGC